CAGGCCGCCGCCTCCAGTCGCCTGGCTTTTCGCCCTGCGGTGCCCGGCCCTTCCCCATGCTAGCACCTCGGACTACGGAAAACGGGGTCCCCATGTCCCAAACCGAGGCTGACTTGGCTCTGCGGCCGCCGCCGGCTCTCACCTCCTCGGGGCCAACCCGCTTGGGGCCACCTCCTCGGCGAGTGCGCCGCTTCTCTGGGAAGGCTGAGCCCCGACCCCGCTCTTCACGACCGAACCGCCGCAGCTCAGTCGATTTGGGACTGCTGAGCTCCTGGTCTCAACCAGTGTCACTCCTTCCGGAACCCCCCGATCCTCCGGACCCCGCTGGCCACACGAAGAGCCCACCTCCTAGCGCCAAAGAAACCTCCGAGGGCACATGGACCGGGGCAGCCCTGGTGAAGGCTGCAGACTCGGCAAGTCCTGAGCTCACGATACCTTCGGGAGGTCTCGGGTCCCGGGAACCACCGAGACTTCTTGATGCTGCAGCCCGGGAGCGGCGGCGGGAGCAGGAAGAGAAAGAGGACACAGAGACCCAGGCTGTGGCAACGTCTCCAGACGGCCGATACCTCAAGTTTGACATTGAGATTGGAAGAGGCTCCTTCAAGACGGTGTATCGAGGGCTAGACACCGACACCACGGTAGAGGTGGCCTGGTGTGAACTGCAGGTGTGGCTGGGCGCCCCCCCCCCCTCTGTGGTACCTCGGGATGGGGCCCTTTGGAGGTCGCAGGTTGGGAAAACGGGAGGACATCATCAAGGGAAGGATCTTTTTTTTTTTTTTTTCTTATCAGATGTCCAGGCACTCTTGCTCTCCTTGCCGGCATGATCTCATGGACTGACTCTGGGTGGGTTCAGGAGAAACTGAGGCAGGTGGTATATGGTGGCTCCCAATGAGCCAATGAGCATAGCTAGCTTCACTTTCAAGCCTCTCTACAAATCTGAGTGTTGGGAAACTGAGTAGGGAGGGAGGCAGACCCTCCAGTCTCCTGCCCTGGGCACCACTGCCCCGTCCTCTCTTTTTCCTCTAAGTCTTGAGAGACTTTCTGCTGTGACCCTGGTCCTCTTGCTCCTCCTCCTTCCTCTTTACAAACTTAAGTGACTGGGATGTGGGAGGCCTGGAGTTGAGGCCAAAGCCCTCTCCACCTCCAAAAAGATTTAGGGTAGTTATGGCAGAAGGGGGCTCCCCAGGTCCCTTCCGAAGCAGTCAGCCTTACAGACTTCTCAGCAACTTCAAGGAGCAGGGACAGGACACTCTAGTTGAAGCTGGAGTCCAGTCCGGTTTCACACCCCTCTACATACCTGGGTTCTCCCTTTCCATTGCCAAAAGAGCTGAGCTCTAACAAGTTTTGGACTTCGGGAGGATGCAGATTTTTAGCACTTTCTTCCTCGCCCGTTGCTCCCAGTGTGAGTGGTCCCAGAAACTTAAGATTCAGATTAGGGAACAAAAAAAAGGAGGAGGGGTCCTTCCACTTTGGCTCTGGCACAGGACTCTCTGCTAGTGCCTGCTAGTGCCGCGCCCCAGGCTTTAAGCCAGGCCAGGAGAATCGGCCAGACTCAGGGGAGGGGGGAGGGATGGAGAGAGAGAAAGGAGGGGTGGGGCACCCCCAGCCATGGGGGGCGGTCTCCTGGCCCTGGTCCTGGATCTTTTCTTTCTTGGTACTTTCAACTACCTCTTTCTAGAGCCTCCAGTTCCTAGGTTTTAGGGCCAACCTCTTGCCGGCCCCAGTTCCCGGCCCGTGGTCTGCCTGCTGCCTACCGGCTGCCAGCCCCAGGGCACAAGCCCCCCCCCCCCCCCCCTTCCACAGTCGGCTCTGGAGGCCACAAAGGCGCTATTGAGCACCCGGCTCCCAGACCTGTGCATAAAGACGCTTGTGTCCAGCGGGGGGTCCGGAGTGCTGCCCCAGGCCCAGGATGGGTGTGTTCTTGGAGCAATAAGAAGAGACCAACCAAAAGTCGGGGTCTGCTGCCCTTCAGGCTAGCGAGCTCACCAATCGTACCCTGGCCATATGATCCTGCCCTCATCCCTCCCACCCCCCAAGCTCTGCCCCAGTTACCCGGTGCTCTTCTTCCTGGGGTTCTGGGTCTGATGTGACCCCGATCGTCCCATCCCACAGACTCGGAAACTATCTCGAGCGGAACGGCAGCGATTCTCCGAGGAGGTTGAGATGCTTAAGGGGCTACAGCACCCCAACATCGTCCGCTTCTATGACTCGTGGAAGTCGGTGCTGAGGGGCCAGGTTTGCATCGTACTGGTCACTGAACTCATGACCTCCGGCACGCTCAAGACGTGAGCTCTGGCCTGGGTGGGAGGGGGAGGATGGGACGTCACTCCGAGGCCCTGGGAACTTCTCCCAATCACGACAGTGTCCTCCCAGCACACCAGTCAAAAATGTCTATATCTTTGTTGTGCTTAACAGCGGTGTCTCTTAGGTCTTTGCTTAATATCTTCCCTCTGGGTTTTCACTGCTCATCTTTGCCCTCCCTACCTACTGATGTCTTCCCCCCCCCCAAACACATACACAACAGCACCCCTAAAGGGCCTTTCCCGGTATGCCCACCCCTCATTATCCCATCTTCCTGCAACCTAGAGGAAATCTGACCCTTTGACTGCCTCCTCAAACCTCTTCAAGATTTCCTACTGCCCTGGGGTAAAGTCCACAAAGTCCCTAAAATAACACTCTCATTTCTAGCTTAAGACAGACAAGGCCAGTTCTCAGTGACTTCTCCCACCCTGCCTGTCACTCCTGTGGCCCTTCAGCCCGGAAAATCTCCATCTCTTCCCATTTTCACCCTTGAACTTAATGCTCCTCCTTCAAGGCAAAAGTTATTTCCTCAGTGAAATCCTCCCCCGTGCTTGGGACAGTTAGTCATTCCTTCCTGCTCCCACAGCACCTTCTTTGGCGGTCACCCTATCTCCGAATTTACCGTCAGCCGTTTTGTAACCTATTTACCGAACTCATTGACTCAGTTTCTTTTTGGGCCCGACGGACCTGATTTAAAAGAATGCTGGCAGGGAAGGCGGAGGTGGTGGCAAGGGTAGGATGAGAGGAAAATTTCCAGTCCAGGAATCGATATCCCCACGGCGACCATGGTTATGCGCCCTCTCCCAGGTACCTGAGGCGGTTCCGCGAAATGAAGCCCCGAGTCCTTCAGCGCTGGAGTCGCCAAATCTTGAGGGGACTTCATTTCCTACATTCCCGAGTGCCCCCCATCCTGCACCGAGATCTCAAGTGTGACAACGTTTTCATTACCGGCCCTTCAGGCTCGGTCAAAATCGGAGATCTTGGACTGGCCACGCTCAAGCGCGCCTCCTTTGCCAAGAGCGTCATCGGTGCGTCTCTCCAGCAGGGCCTTTGTCATTGCTAGCTCCCCCACATCAGAAAAGAGCTCCAACGGGGCTTTGGAGAGCTCCCGAACTAGGGCAACCCGTTCTTCCTGCCCCCCAGAACACACTTTGGGCAAGAGTTGGTCACCAGAACTCCCGGGGTTGCCCTTGGGCTACTTAGCCCATGATATACCCGAATGGAGGGAGGGGACCAAGAGGAAGGCCTGACCGTTTCTGTGGGTCCAACAGGGACCCCGGAATTTATGGCCCCCGAGATGTATGAGGAAAAGTACGACGAGGCGGTGGACGTGTACGCCTTTGGCATGTGCATGCTGGAGATGGCTACATCGGAGTATCCCTACTCTGAGTGCCAGAACGCAGCACAAATCTACCGCAAGGTCACGTCGGTGAGAAGGACGGGGTTCGGGAAGAAGGGATCCCCAGAGGCCCTCCCACTCTCCTGCCCTCTAACTAGCCTGTGTGTAGCAGGTACCCTTTATCTTAATAAAAACAGGCCAGACAGAAAGATGCCCCAGTGAAGCGGAAATGTGTTGTATGCACGTAAGCCCCTCACACAAGCTAGTAAGAATATGTGCAATCCTAAGAGTTCACATCTAGTCTCGGCAGATCTTCCTAGTTGTCCCACCAGGTGAGCCAGGCAAATGTTCTGCTCTGCGCTTTACAAATGAGAAAACAACCAACCGGGAAGTCTTAGGCGAGGTCACACCAGCAATATGTGGAGGGAATGGATTTGAAATATGTGGAGTCTCTCAGTACCAGCACCCTTCCCCCACCCGAGCCTTGGAGACTGCCTGCTTTGCACACTTCCAGAGAGCTGGCTCGCAGGCGACCCAAGGCCTCATGCAACTCTTCTCGCAGGGCACAAAGCCCAACAGCTTCTACAAGGTGAAGATGCCGGAGGTGAAGGAGATCATTGAAGGCTGCATCCGCACGGATAAGAATGAGAGGTGGGGTCCCGGGCCAGAGAGGGCATGGAGACGAAGCTCGGGTAGCAGCAGGCTCCGCTCCTCACTTCTCCACGGTCCCCAGGTTCACCATTCAGGATCTCCTGGCCCACGCGTTCTTCCGCGAGGAACGAGGTGTGCACGTGGAGCTGGCAGAAGAGGATGACGGCGAGAAGCCGGGTCTCAAACTCTGGCTGCGCATGGAGGATGCGCGGCGCGGGGGGCGCCCACGGGACAACCAGGCCATCGAGTTCCTGTTCCAGCTTGGCCGGGACGCTGCTGAGGAGGTGGCTCAGGAGATGGTGAGGAGATAGGTCCTGCTTTGATTGAGCCTGTAAAGGGCTCAGCCAATCTGTCACCAGTCAATAGGAGGGCCAGGGTGGGCCACTAGAGGGGCGAGAGGAGATTCCCACCTAGAGGAGCATCTCCTACAGGGGTCTTCCTGCCTCTCCTGCCCTAATTCACCTGCACACACTAGGGTTTTTTTCCAGAACCAACCGTGGATCCTTAACCTCGCTTCTTTGTTTCTTGCAGATTCATTTATCATGGAATGTCCTTCTTGGCAATTTATCTATTTATTTTTCCCTCTCCACCTTCTTTGTCATCTCCCCCACTCCCAATGCTTAGCACCATCAATTCCAGGAAGGTCACTCCTCTGGAGTTAAAAGTTGAATGCTTCTTTCCATATCAGTGGGGCCTCTACACAGCCTCAGCCGTGGGCTTTGTTTTATACCTGAGTGCATTTACCATCTCTCTCCTCTGCTAGACTAGAAACTATCCGTGACCAGACAACACTTATTGATTTTTTTTTCTAATCCCTTACTGTTTGGCAGGTGGTAGGTCCTCCTTAACAATCACACGTGACTCAAAGCACTTTCATGTGAGCCTGTTTGGAAGGCAATTTTATCCCAACTTATCGATGAAGGAATGCAAGCTCAGAGAGACTGTCTTGTCTGGAGTCCCAAGTAAACAAATGACAAAGCAGGATTTAAGTTCAAGCCATTCAGATTTGGTCAGGTGGCCCTGCTGCTCTTCTTCTACTCCACCTGCAAAACTCACAGCTAAACTGAAAGGGAAGGACAGGGGCACAGGGGCGGGGAGGAGCAGACACTGGTGGAAGAGAAAGCAGGTGCGGGCATAGGCAATGCCAGGGCAGAGCTTTAAAAGCTTGTTCAGGAGAGCCTGAATGGGAGAAGGGACGAGAATATAGGGTTCTCAATAGAGAAATGGCAGTAGCAAGGGCAAGGGTCATCTGTGCTGGGTCAAGAACCTGAGACTATCCTGACATAGTGGTGTATATTATTATTTTTTCTTTTTCCTTTTCTTTAAAAATATATTTATTGTGTACACAGTGTTCTGTCTGCATTTTTCCTGCACACCAGAAGAGGACGTCAGATCTCATTACAGATGGTCGTGAGCCACCATGTGGTTGCTGGGAGTTGAACTCAGGACCTCTGGAAGGGCAGCCTGTGCTCTTAACCTCTGAGCTGTCCCTCCAGCCCCTGTGGCGCAAATTATTGACCCCAGCACTCAGGAGGCAAAAGTAGATGAGTCTCTGAGCCCAGCATGGTTTATATTGTGAGGCTAGGGATACACAGTGAGACCCCATCTCTAATAATAATAACTTGAGATTGAAATGTGGCAGAAGTGCAGTTGCCAAAGCACTGCCCAGCTTGACTATAGATGCAATCTTTTTAAAAAGTTACATCTTGTAGCTGGGCCGTGGTGGTGCACGCCTTTAATCCTAGCACTTGGGAGGCAGAGACAGGCAGATCTCTGTGAGTTTGAGGTCAACCTGGTCTACAAGAGCTAGTTCCAGAACTGCTAGGGCTGTTTCAAAGAGAAACCCTGTCTTGAAAAGATTTTTTTAAAAAAAAAAAAAAGTTACATCTTATTTGTGTGTGTCTGTGTGTATGTATGTGGGTGCCCATGTGCCACAGCATACAAGCAGAGGTCAAAGGACAGCTTGTGGGAATCACTTCTCTCCTTCCATCATTCTGACTCAGGCTGTCAGGCTTGGCAGTGTGCACCTTTATACACAAAGCCAGCCTGCCTGCCCTCAAGATCAAATCTTGATCTATTACCTGCAAGGTGTGTGTGTGTGTGTGTGTGTGTGTGTGTGTGTGTGCTGTATTACTTTTCTGTGTGGGTGTGCATGTATGCGTATGCATGCTTTGATATAGATGCTGGGGGTTGGAATGCAGGCCTTCATGATCACTATCATCTCTAAAACAACAGCAGCAACGTTTATTCCCCAATGTTATGGAGAAGGCTTAACGAGGATGAGTTTTCAGGTAACAGATATGGTACTTAGTCAATAAATAGCTCCTTCCTCATTCCTAGAGGCCTCAAAAGGTGTCCTAATTGATCCTCTCCCCCTCCTTCCTCCCTCTCTCCTCTCTCTCTCTCTCTCTGAATGTACAGAAGTGTATGTGCATATGTGTGAAGGCCATAAGCCAATTTAAAGGTGTCCTGATGGATCCATCCTCTCTGTCTGTCTGTCTCTGTCTCTCTGCATGTACAGATGTGTATGTGCATATGTGTAGAAGCCAGAAGTTAACTTTGGGTGTCACGCCTCAGAAACCAGCAACCTTGTTTTTTGAGACAGAGTCTCTTACTGGGACCTGGGGCCTGCGAATTAGGCTAGACTGGGTGGCCAGCAAGCTCCTGTCTCTGCCTCCCCGGCACTGAGATTACAAGCATGCCTGCCTGACCCTTTACGTGAGCACTGGGGATCAGACTTCTGTCATACTTGTGCAGTAGGCATTTTACTAACTTGGGTAGCTCCCCAGTTCCTGGTGAGTCTTTGAGAGGGGGAAATCTGGAGCTGTCTCCCTTTCTATCCCTGACTCCAGGTAGCCTTGGGCTTAGTTTGCGAAGCTGACTACCAGCCAGTGGCCCGTGCAGTCCGGGAACGGGTTGCTGCCATTCAGCGGAAGCGGGAGAAGCTTCGAAAAGCTAGGGAGTTGAAGGTTCTTCCACAGGAGTCAGGACCTCCTCCAGCAACTGTGTCCATGGCTCCTGGTGCCACCAGTGCCTTCCCCCCGGAGCCCGAGGAACCAGAGGCTGACCAGCACCAATCCTTCCTCTTCCGCCATGCTAGCTACTCATCTACCACCTGTAAGTGACCCCAGCTTGGAGTTCTAGGTCCCAGAAGTCCAACCCAGAAATGCTGTCACTTATCCAGCCTGCAAACTCTAGCTGTGAACCTTCCCTTAGGGACAAATACTCCCACAATTCCCTCCGGGCTCCAGGCTCCTCTTTGACAGGCAGGTCCCCTCCTCTACCACCACAGTCCTTTATTGTTATTATTGTTGTTTGATCCACTCCCTCCCCTGCCAGCTGATTGCGAGACTGATGGCTACCTCAGCTCCTCCGGCTTCCTGGATGCCTCAGACCCTGCCCTTCAGCCCCCCGTGGGGGTGCCATCCAGCCCTGCTGAGTCCCATCTCTGCTTGCCCTCGGTGAGGGGGGGGGGGTCCCTCGGGAACCTTCCAGTGATCATGACCTATCCCTTTCTCTTGAATCCCAACCCCCTACCTGTTCCCTTGTTCCTGAAATACACTCTTCCTGCCCTTATCTTCTCCAATTCTGTTTCCCTAGTATTCTTCCCCCCCCATCCCTGGCTCCATTTCCCTGGGTCACCACAATCACCATCAACAGCTATTATCTCCTGATCTCACGAAGTGTATCCTCTTTCAGGGTTTCGCCTTGTCCATTCCACGCTCTGGCCCTGGCAGTGACTTTTCTCCTGGGGATAGGTATGTTCAGTTTTAAGTTGGGGTACCAGAGTGAGACACAGAAAGTTCTGGGTCCCCACTGTCCACTTAAACACTTCTATCTTCTTTCCCCTGCCCAGCTGTGCCTCAGATGCAGCATCAGGCCTCAGTGACATGGGAGAAGGGGGGCAGACGAGGAAACCTCCAGTGAAGAGCCTTCGTCGGAGACCCCGATCCCGGCTGCGGGTCACTAGTGTACGACAAGCATAGGAGCTGGAGAACAGCCTACAGAACCCGGGGGAACTGCCAGGGAGGCAGGGGAGGTGGACCAGAAAAGCAGAGCTGCAGCGTATGACTGGTGCCCACGAGGCATCTAGTCTGGCTTCAATGCCAGACTCTGGGGGTAGAATCTGCTCTCAGTGTCCATTCTGGCCCACGCGCTTTGGCTAGAGGAGGGTGGGAGGGCATGATTAAGGCAGAAGCATTGATTTCTTTCCTTCTGCTTTGAATCTAAAGGTCTCAGACCAGAATGACAGAGTTGTGGAGTGCCAGCTACAGACCCACAACAGCAAGATGGTGACCTTCCGATTTGATCTGGATGGGGACAGCCCGGAGGAGATTGCAGCGGCCATGGTGAGAGGGAGAGACAGGGCAGATTTGGCTATAAGCATTTCCCTCCTGGCGGCCACTGGTGCTGACACACCCTGGTCCCACGGTCGGCTTGAACACGTTGAGATCATTAAGGACTGGGTAGACACGACTGGTGTGTGCACGTGATCCTGCTAGAGGCATCATACTGCAACTGGAAGTAAAGCATGGACGGGAGCAGGAAGGAATGGGATTGACCTGTGTCCTAGTGAATGAGTGGGAACGGCAGGGAAGGATGAGAAGGGCTTGCCGGGCTGGAGGCACAGCGTGAGCACCGGATAACATTAGTGCAGTAGTACTGAGTGTTGGGGGGGGGGGGGCGCACGTACTGTGGAAACCACTGTCACAGGAGAAAAGGGGTCCTACAGTAAATCCCGGGAAGTGGGATTCAGATCATGAGTGTATCCGAAGGCCAGCTCTGCAGTGTACACCTGATATCTTGAGCACTTAGGAAGTGGAAACAGGAAAATCAAGGGTTCAAGGCCGACACAGGCTACACAAGACCTTATAAAGCAAAGAAAGTTAGGCAGAGAGAAACACGACTAGAATGGCTTTGTTTGTTTTAAGATTTATTTATTTATGTATACGAGTGCTTTATTTGTATGTATGCCGACATGATAGAGGAGGGCATCAGCTCTCATTATAGATGGTTGTGAGTCACCACGTTGTTGCTGGAAATTGAACTCCGGACCTCAGGATGAGCAGGCAGTGGTCTTAACCAATGAGCCATCTGTCTAGCCCTGAGAATGGGTTTTAAGTAGATCATTCTGCTGTGAGATGTGGGAGGGTTTTAGGAATAAGGAATCTGGTTGGGAGGTGGACATAAGAAGCCAGACGGGAATGGAGGTGAAATGGAATGTGGAGGAGAAGAAAGGGTAGATCTAAGGGTTGCTTCAGGAAAATTGCTGTGTAATCCAGAACGTTCTTGACGTAGTACAGTGTGGGTAGTGGATGTCCAATAAATATTTGCTGAGTTGATATGCTAGGGAGTTAAGGAGAAGAGATATCAAGGGCAACCTGTATCAGAGGAACAAAGAGGAGCAGACTATTCAATGAGAGAAGTTGGGAATGAAAGCAGGGTTTCTTAAGGGTCATGATGATCTTGAGCAACAGCTGAGTCAAGGTCCTCCGTGGCAACAGGATATGGTCAGGAAGAGCTAAAGAGAGATGGGTTTAGGAGTCCTCAGTCCAGTGCTGAGGGTGAAAATGGATCTGCAAGTGAGAGACATGGAAGCTTCTAGACTGTGTCTCTTGCAAACATCCTGTTCGAGAATGAGAAGTGGGGACATGCTACTGAAGGACAGCAAGGTGGAACCAAAGAAGTAGGAGGATTCTAGTGAAGGCAGAGTTCCAAGCAGGTGGCACGGGGAGACTCCTGAGCAAGACCACACCGGCTCTTGTTAGGGGTCTCAGTGGTACACAGTCTCAGCAGAGTGGGGTGGCCTATGTCAGCCACTGAGATGGTGGAGAAAACATCTGGCTTTGGGAATCCTTCACAAAGCACCTCCTCCTTGAGTCCCTTCACCTAGTCGCCAGAGCAAAGACATCTAAGGCTTGTCCTCTTCCGTCAAGCCACATGACCCTTCCAGAGCCTTTATCAAGCCACACACGTTTCTGAACAGTTCTGGAAGAGGCCGGGTGCCTTCCTATCTCTGTTTCTATCTATCCAGGGTTCTGTAGGTCTGAAAACCTTTCCCCATGGTTCCCACGTGCACTCAGAATCCACACAATCCAAGTGACCCGCCCCTGGATCCAGGATTCATTTTCTTTTCTCTCCTCACTAGTTCATGTCTCTGCAGCAGAGTCTGAGACTTGGATCAAATCTTGCTGCTTTTCATCATCATCATCTTCATCATCATCGGCAGCAGCAGCAGCAGCAGTTATCTGTGATCCTAAACTCAGGAAGCATGGCCATAAAAACCATAGTTCACCCAGCTGCATCAGAGTCCTGTCCTCAGGATGTGCTCTGCTTTTTTTTTTTTTTTTGGTTTTATGAGACAGGGTTTCACTGTAGTTTTTTTAGAGCCTGTTCTGGAACTAACTTTTGTAGACCAGGCTGGCCTCCTCGAACTCACGGAGATCCGCCTGCCTCTGCCTCTGGAGTGCTGGGATTAAAGGTGTGCACCGCTGCCACCTTTAATGGGGCTTGCTTTTCATGCCTCAAGGCTGTGTCCTTGGCATCAGCTGTGCTCCCTTCTCTTCTGATGCCAGGGTGCAGTAGAAGAATGACTAGCCTAGCAGTGGGTCTCAACCCTCCTCCTACTGAGACCCTATAATACATAAACATATATAATATCATAATAATAAATATAATACCATAAGATTATTTCATTGCTACTTCATAACTGTAATTTTGCTACTGTTATGAATCATAATGTAAAAAAAATCTGACATGTGACCCCAAAGGGGTTGAGACCCAGACTGAGAACTGCCTAGTCATTAGGCTTTTATGTAACACCTGCGTTCAAGTTTCATGTGTTGAAGTTTGGTGAACTTGGCCAGGTTTCTCTTCTATTCCCTCCCCTTCCTCCTCTTCCCTTCCTTCTCCTTCCTTCTTGTGGTGCTGGAGATCAGACCCAGGGTCTTGTGGCAAGTGCAGTATCAGAGCCGCACCCCTCGATTCTTGGGCAGGTTTCTGAGCCTCAACTCTCCATCGATTACTATTTGTTTCTCAAAGATGTGATCTAATATGGTGATGCATGGAGGTGGCCACAGACCCTCAGTGAAGGGTGGCTTTTCTTACTCCACATTTGTAAGGTTTAGCATCAAACACTTCCTGTGTAACACTATCCCCAGTTCTCCCAACCTGAGGTTGGATGACCCGTTCCTTTACTGGAGCAGCACTGGGGAAGACCAATTACAGAGACTTTTTATTACGTTTATTTAATTGTATGTGGAGGTCAAAAGGCAACCTGTGAGAGTCATTTTTCTCCTTTCACGTGTGGTCATGTGACTGAGCTCATATAGTCAGGCTTCATGACAAGCAACTTTACCCATCTCGATGCCCCAATTACAGGTTACTAGCACTTTTTAAACTGTGGGTTTTTGCTGTTGTTGGTGGTGTTTTTTGGGTGATATTGAGACAGGGTCACACTGTGTAGTTCTGGCTGTCCTGGAACTCACTCTGTAGACCAGGCTGGCCTCAAACTCACAGAGATCAGCTTGACTCTGCCCCCTGAGTGCTGGGATTAAAGGTGTGTTACATCATGCCTGACTAAACTGCGGTTTAAAAAAGAAAAAAAAATCCAGACACACTGTAAGTGGGGTATAGTGGCATGTTCTTGTAGTCCCCTCAGGAAGCTGAAGCTGAGGTGGGAAGATTGCCACAAGTTTGAAGCCACTCTGGACAATGTAGCAAGACCCCCACCTGCCCCGTCTCCAAACAGCAACAAAGCGCCAAACCAACTAACCAAATACAATGTAAGAGACTAAACCACAACATAAAATTTACTACCATAACCACTTGGAAGCATGTGTTCAATAGTACAGTACCCACATTGTTGTGAACCTGATTTCCAGACCTTGCAGGTCTGAAATGCTTGCTAACGATCCTCCCACCTCCAGAAAGACCAAAAAAAAAAAAGGAATTTTTAGCCATATTCACTACCAGCAAGGCGCTCAAGTGCTCTCCCCACCCCAGGACGACTTGCAGCCTGCTGTGTAGTGATGTGGGCTGGAAGACTACGATGTTCCATGCTTCCCCTACTCAATAGTGTTTCCCACAATGTGTGGTAGACAGTAGGTACGCGATGGCTGTGGAGTGGAAAGCGACATTTACCGTTGACCACCTTGTTTCCCTTAACCTTGCCATGCGTGACTGGGGCCCTGTGTGATGTACTTTATAATCTTTCTATGAATGCAGAAATTGTGTCCAAAAGCATGCAGCTGTGCAAAGAACTTAGGCTCTGGCTTTCAGTGTACCTGGCTTCAAATAGCGTGACTTTGAGCCGACTGAACTTTTTAAAAAATATCTCATTTATTTATTTAAGGTGCATTGGTATTTTGTCTGCATGTATGTCTGTGTGAGGGTGTCAGATCCTCTGGGACTGGAGTTACACTTGCTAGGAATGGAACCCGGGTCCTCTAGGAAGAGCAACCGTGCTCTTAACCACTGAGCCATCTCTCCAGGCCCAGGCCAGCTGGACTTAACCTGAGCATTAGTTATCTTCACTGCACAGGGAGGATATTAATAGACCGTAGCAGGCTGCTGGTGTTATATGTGACGATACATGGAAAGCGTTGGTGCACACAGCACACACATCCTAGGCACGTCAGTTCCTGGACCACATTCCTCCTGGACCGCAAGTGCCTGGCGCACAACACATACCCAGGAAATGATGCAGTGGTATCAACTGTTGGGTTTAAACATTGGAAGCAGGGAAGCAACGGTGAGATAACAGCCTCCTCCCATCCCGTAACCCCTGCCAGGTGTACAATGAGTTCATTCTGCCCTCGGAGCGAGATGGATTCCTGAGCAGGATCCGAGAGATTATCCAGCGAGTGGAGACCCTGCTGAAGAGAGATCCTGGTCCTCCGGAGACTGCTGAACATGCCCTGAGCCCTCAGGTCAGGCCTCCGGACATCCCCAGCAGGAACAGACTCTGCCCTCAGCAGTCTGCTTGGATTAACTTCTCTTAATCTTGAGGACTTTACAACTGGCTCTTAACTCTGAGAGTCTGATGAAAGCTACAGACTCTTGTTCTAGAAAACAGTGAACAGACACTTTTAGCTTATCTTGAAATAAGCGCAGACTCGCAGACAGAAATTGCAAGAACTATAGAACCCATTCCTAGATGCCCTTTACCCGGATTTCCTGGTTAAGACTAGCTTTGACTAGCTTTCTCATTCTTCCTCTGTATTCTAAGTTATGTTCCTTTGAACCGCTCGAGAATAGTTTGGCAGATCTCATGCCTCTTTACCTCCAAATATTTCAGCCATATGCTTTTGAATCCCAAGAGGCTTGTGTCCGGATTCCTAGAGGCTCATGGGTCCTATCTTAAGAATCCCAGCCTGCAACTTTCCATCTGAGACTCAGCTTTCCCCACAGTGACTGAAGGCCCCCTTTCTCCCTCAGGCAGAGCCAGCAGCACCGCCTGCCCTCCCAGGCCCACCAAATGGTAGGTTCTATGTTCTGTTCCTGTTCATCACAACCCTTGGGTTGACCTTGTGGAGGGCACAGGGCACAGGGGTCTGAAATCTCAACCCTTCCTTTTCAGCAGAGCCCCAGAGAAGCATCTCCCCAGAACAGAGGAGCTGGGCAGCCTTCTCTACCTCTCCATCTTCTCCTGGAACCCCCATGTCCCCTGGAACCCCATTTTCCCTTGGGACGCCCCCTGTCTTCCCATGCCCCATCTTTCCAATCCCTTCACCCTCATGCCATCCCTGCCCATTCTCCCAGGTCTCTTCAAATCCCTGTCCGCAGACCCCCAGCTCCCCACCTCCACCCTTTGCCAGTGCTCCTCACTTCCCACTCCCATCCTCTCACCTCCCTGTGAGTGCCCTCCCCACTAGCTCTTCTCACCCATTCCCTCCTAGTTGTTCCCAAGTTACTCTTAGCCCCTCTCCTCCCCCCCTCCCCGCTACCACAGCAGGCCCCCTCCTCTCTCTGGCTAGTGCCTTCTCTCTGGCTGTGATGACTGTGGCCCAGTCCCTGTTGTCCCCTTCCCCTGGGCTTCTTTCTCAGTCTCCTCCAGGTCCCTTGCCTAGCCTGCCCCTTCCCCTTGCTTCTTGTGGCCAGGAGAGCCTTTTACCCCAAATGGCTGAGACACAGAGTGAGGTGAGTAGGGGTTGGAGAGGGATAATGGGGGGAGGGGAGGATCCGTTCTGGATCCTTTCCTTTCTCATGGCACCACACTTTGTAGGCTTCCCAAAACGCTGCTCAGCCACTACTGGGCGAAGCTAGACTGGCACCCATCTCTGAAGGTGAGGCCCCTAATCCCTGACCTTCCCCTGCCTGTTACCCCCAACACATTTATGTCCGGCTAATTTCTTCTGTCCTCCTCACTTTCCACCTTATCCCCCTGCAGAGGGGAAGCCCCAGCTTGTTGGGCGGTTCCAAGTGACTTCATCCAAGGAACCAGCAGAGCTGCCCCTGCAGCCAGCACCCCCAACTCTCTCCAGTTCCCTAAAGCTTCCAACCCCTCAGCTGACCTCGGAGAGCTCAGACACAGAGGACAGTGCCGCCGGAGGACCAGAGACCAGGGAGGCCCTGGCAGAGAGTGACCGTGCAGCCGAGGGCCTAGGGGTGGCAATCGAAGAGGAAGGGAATGACGGGGCCCGGACTGGGGGAAGTTCCCCACTCTTGAGTCATCCCAGCCCAGTGTGGATGAACTACTCCTACAGCAGCCTGTGTCTGAGCAGCGAGGAGTCAGAGAGCAGCGGGGAGGATGAGGAGTTCTGGGCTGAGCTGCAGACTCTTCGGCAGAAGTGAGTCTGGGGAAGATGGAGGAACTAGAGGTAAACCTGGGAGCACAAAGTATGTGACTAGCCATTTCCTGCCCTTGGTGCATCCTCAGACACTTATCGGAAGTGGAGGCACTGCAGACCCTACAGAAGAAAGAAATCGAGGACTTGTACAGCCGGCTGGGGAAGCAGCCCCCACCTGGTATCGTAGCCCCAGCTGCTATGCTGTCCAGCCGCCAGCGCCGCCTCTCCAAGGGCAGCTTCCCCACCTCCCGCCGCAACAGCCTGCAGCGCTCTGACCTCCCTGGCCCTGGTGAGATGGCAGCCACCCAGCTTTCATCTTTCCCTTGAGACTCCTTCCCAACACGATCTTTTGGGCCCTGGTGGTCTATTCTTGGTTCTGGGGGACCAATCCCCGCTCTTCGCTGCCCCTTCCTTCACTTAGAGCTCTCCCTCCCTGCTCCCAGGCATCATGCGAAGGAACTCCCTGAGTGGCAGCAGCACCGGCTCCCAGGAGCAGCGGGCAAGCAAGGGGGTGACATTCGCCGGGGATGTTGGCAGGATGGTGAGGGCGGGCCCAAAGGAGGGCGAGCCCAGGGAATGGTGACTGGCAGCAGCTTTGCCTTCCCCCACCTTTGGGTGTTTCCTCAGCATTTTTCTTTTCCCCTCCAGTGAATTCAGAACAGAAGTCCTATGTCTCCCCAACACCAGGGCCCACCGTGGCTCTCAGAATCTGATGCTTTTGTGACCAACTGAACTCAGCACAGAACAGCCCAGCACTGAGGGTGTAGAAGGCCTGGGGGCATGGAAAGTGCGATTGTGTTATCCTGAAGAGAGTCAAACAATGTGGGGGCTCTGCTGTGTGGAAATGTCACTTCTGTCCCTACCCCACCTTCGTCTTTGCTCCTCCCCAGGCAAGGGCTAACCACTAAGCAATCCCACTCAAGTCCAGATGCTTCTAGAAGGCCAGCTTCCAGCTGGGAGTGTAGCAGGTGTGCTCACACCTCCAAAGTGAACAGCAATCAATAAAAATACTGGGAAGGATTGTGGGTCTTTATCTGTCATGTCTTAGGAGCTGGGGGAAAAACGGGTGAGGATCTAGAAGCCATTCTCCTCTCACAATGCAAGGCAGGATGGACGCTGCCCAGTTTTCTGGCTTTTTGCCATCAGGTCATGAGGAAACTCCATGACCAGTGATCCACCTGGCCAAGCTATGACCCTCTCCAGACTCCACCCTAGACCTGTATAGGCAGGTACCAGCGAATGTCAAAAGAATGAAGGTGCTTGTCTCTTGTCCTTCATATACCCATGCAGCGACGAGAAAAGGCTGTGAAGGCTCAGAGCAAAAAAGTGACCTTCCTCTCCCTAAGACCTGGTTCAGTCTCAAACAGCCCAGTAATCTCTCCCTTAAATCAGGTGGAAAGATCTGCTGGAAAAAGTAATTCTAGTTAAACATTTACCGCTCCCTGGGGCTGTGCCACCCCCGTAGTTACTGCCAGGGCAGTTACTGCTAGGGCGCTTTCCAGCATGAAGTGCCATGTGTCCCTCGGCCCCCAAACACTAGCTTTGCCTTCAGGAGAGATGACTCATTTTATTTCTCTTCACTTGACCCCATCTTTCCCACTGAAGGTTCCAACTCTGCAGATACACCACACCCTCCCTCTTAATAGTTGGGCCCCTGGGAGGTGAAGGGGTAAACCACAAAGTTTGAGGAAAGGCAAGGTCGCATACCTCTCGAACAAGGAAATCAGAAGGTTCAGTAACTGTACAAACTGCATGTGAAATGAGCAACCCCCCCCCCCCTCTGGCAGTGGCCAAACGCACAGTCTCTGGCTTCTTGGGCTCAATCATAGTTCGAAGTTAGTTAAGCCAGTGATGCTGTGAGATCGCCAGGCATTATTTAAGGGGTACAGGAGCTCCGGCAGTTTGAAGACGGTTCGTACAGTTAGGGTCCCGATGCTCTCTCCCTCTCCAGAGCTCGGGCTCGGGCAGCTTTGGCCTCATCTTCCAGCTCATCAAGGAAACGCTCCTGAGCCACTGAATAGAAGGTATAACCATCTGGCGGGGTGGGTTCAGGAAACCAAAAGCATATGGGCATTTCTTTCTTCAACCACCCTTGTTATCACCCCAAATTAATGATTGTGGACTGCCACCCTTTTTCCCCTTTTGAACCCTTAACTGAATTGCTATCATTAAACCACTAAGAGCAGCGTAGATATAGTAAGATTATGTATTAACCCCATTTTTACCACACATTAAAGGCTACACGTCTCGTTCCCTTTTCCCTAACCTCGTAAGTGGTATAGTCAGAACGGATACAAATAGCTAAGACCACGGCTCCGATGCCCAGGCCGGTCACAATGTTCCGGGTCCGCCGCTGTGGCAGTGTTTTCTGCCACTGGGAAAGTTGCACCTGACGCATAAACTGCACTTGCGCTGGGGTCAATTTATCCCGCGACGGGTCGATGCGCTGAGCGAATGGGGCATTTCCATCCTTAGCATCCAAAGGGTCACCAGCTCCAGGCGCCGCCATGTTGCTGCTCCGCCCTAAGCCGCCCAGCCCGGAACTCGCCGGGAATAGTTGGCTTTGGTCGACGCAAGGGACCCTGGGAGTTGTAGTCCGCGTGGTGTTTTCTGGGTAGAAACAGGGTCTCTTCGCTCTGGAGGAGGGGCAGGAAAGGCGAGAAGCGTTTGTGTTTTCTGATTGGCTGAGCGCTGCGTGGCAGTTGGGGCGCGAAAAGCTATTGACGGTTCGAGGCTGTGGTGGGAATTACGTTTTCCTCAGATTCGAGGCCAGGGCAGACATATTGAGAGGGAAGGAAGACTCCAAGGTGTGGCAGAAGATTCTGGAAATAACTTAAGGAAGCCAGTTTATGGATCCCGTGAACTGTCCCAGTGCTCCGAAAGACTTCTGAATATGGAAGGATCCCTGAGGCCCAGACTAGCTAATTCCAGTGACTTCCAGTTTGGAGCGGTTGCCACAGAGACCATCGAAAACGCGCTGCTTCACTTGGCCCAGCAGAATGAGCAAGCCGTGAAGGAGGCTGCGGGACGGATGGGCAACTTCAGGGAGAGCCGGATCGTGGGTGTGGATGCACAGTGGGGAGTCGGGTTTATGGGAGTCCTGGGAGCACTAACCTCTGCTTTTCACTCAAATATATGTTGTTAGTACCCTTTATGCTAGGCCGTGGGGGTTGTAAGTGATGAACGAGGCTTACCAACAGCACTCTTCCCCTTCATTTCCCGCACCCCCTACTCCCACCCCGCTCCCTGCCTTTCTCTTGTCCTTTTTTTTTTTTTTTTGAGACAAGGTCCTGGCCTGGAGCTCTCCATAGCCCGGCTGTCCTCGAACTCACTGAGATATGCCTGCCTCTGGCTCCCAAGTGCTGGGATTTAAAGGCGTATGGCACCATGCAGAGTTTTACTCTTCCTTTCGCAAATATGCTTAGAGTGTTTATTATTGACATTGCCTGGGCGAGAAAGATGGAACCGCAGTATAGTCATTGCTCTCAAACTAGGTACTTTGGGTGGGGACTTTAAATATACAAACAGGTAGGTACAAGTGTAGAATAATTGACAGAGAGAATACATTTAAAGGAGTGATAAGCTGTGGCCCAGGGCTTGTGACCTTGGAGGTACACCTTGAGGGAATGGTGACATTTTGTTTGAAGATAAAGGGAATCTCATCTCTACCAGAAAAGGATGCCATGGATAAAGCTTGGAAGGCAGGAGTGGAGGGTGCAGTTGTAGCCCAGGCTGGCCAGAGCATGTAGAAATGCATTAGAAATTAAGACCAGGAAAGTAGTCTGGAGATATTCAGAGTAGAAATTTGAATGCCAAGGGGGAGGACTTTTTACTTGGTTTAGCAGAAAAATGAGAAAGTTACTACCATTTGTTATTTCTTATTTAATTTATTCTATGTGTATGGGTGTTTTGCCAACAAGCATGTATGGGCACCATGTGTATTCTTGGTGCTAGGAGAAGGTGCCAGATTCTCTGAAACTGGACTTATAGGCAGTTGTGAGCCACCTGATGTGGGTGCTAGGTATTGAACTCAGATCTTCTGGAAGAACAGTCAGTGCTTGTAATTGCTAAGCCATCTTTCCAGCATGAAGACACTGGGATTTAAATGAGGAAGCAGTGGTTGTAATTTTTGCCTTGGTCAAAACGCTTTTATGTGTAAAAATAATGGACCTGACTGGAGGAGGCGGGGGCTAGAGGAGCCCGTGCGTAGCCAGAGGGATAACAGAGGGATGATAAGAATGGATTTACAGCATCCCGAGGCAAACTCTAGAAAGCCTAATTTTCGTTTAAGAAATAAAGACGGTAAAAATGACTGTCAAAGGGTTGCACCAGAGCCTGGAGCACAGTGGTGCCGCTGAGAGAACCACATCCGTACACACGCAAAATACAGAAATAAGGAAATGTGGCCTTTGTTTTAGGGGGAAATTGTTTTGATTTGGATCTATTTGAGTTTAAGATATTTGAAGAATACTCAGAGGAAGGTTAATAGCAGACAGTTTAGAAAGGTCAGAACTAGAAATCGAGGTTTTTAAACTATTTTCATGATACTCTAAGGAGAGAAGAGAAGCAGGTCAAGGACAGTTCTTTGGGAAACATTTTGTGCTCAGGGAATTGGAACAGGGGAGAGTCAACAATACAATGAGCTGCATTTGATGAGTGGCTCATGCAGTAATCCCAGGATTTAGGAAGCTGGGGCAGGAGAATTGCAAATTCTAGGCTAGCGTGAACTACATAGTCCCAGGTTAGTCTAGCCTAAAATACACCAACACCCCATCTCAAAAACCAAACCAAGGGCCTGGAAAGATGGCTCAGCAGTTAAGCTATTTTTCCAGAGGACCCATGTTTGGTTTCCAGCACCCACATGACAGTCCAAAACCAGCTGTAACTCCAGTTCCAGGGGACCCAACCTGTTCTTTTGATCTCTGCAGATACTTGGTACGAACATAGTGCACATACAAACTCAATCTCACACACATACACAAAAAATAGAGACGTAGAGAAGGTTCAGTAGTTGAGAGTTTACGCTGTTCTTCCAGGGCACCCAAATTCAATCCCCTACAACATACACAAGGCAGCTCACAACAGCCTCTAACTTCAGCTCCAGGGACTCCAACAACTTATGGCCACTGAAAGCATTGCACTCACACGCACACAATTTTTAAAAATCTTTAAAAAAGTAAAATAATAAACAAACAAACCCTACCAACCAACAAGAGAGAAGCACAGAAGAAAACATTTTTGAAGTCAACAGGAGGGTTGGGAAGGGTAGCAGTGGTCAGCAGTCTCAGATGCTTCCAGGGAGTCAGAGGAAATGAAGGTCAGAAGAGGACAGTTTGCAAAGCTTGCTGACTTTGGTGTAATCATTTTAGCCAATTGGGAAAAGCGGAAGGGAAATCACAGCAACTTCAGGGAGCGAATGATGATGTGGAAGGAGCAAGCGTAGAAATTGGGCATTAAAGAAATCAGTCCCAATGTGATGGCAAGGCGGAGGCTGAAAGGCCTTGTGTGTAGCAGTCCATCTGAGCATATTCGTTAGGCAGAGGAGGCGAAGGCAAGTGCAGGTGTGACCATAGTTACTCCGCCTAACCCAAATTCACTTTTATTTTATTTCACTAAAATAAAAAACCAGAAACGACTACCTGAATAAGTCCTAACAGATCCAAAACAAAAGCAAAGGTCTGCTAGGAAATAAAGCCCAAGGTTCAAGAATAAAAGGACAAAGGTCTGGCCAGTAACATATAGGTGTGCTCGGTTCTCTTCTCCACGGAGATTGTTAGCCTGGCTGTGGTCTTTGTAGCAAAGCTTTGTGTATAAATCTATTTGTAAGTTAAGTATATTGTTAAACTGTCTTGGGATAGTTTGACTTTTTTTTTTTTTAAGGTTTAAAACATTTTTTTGAGACTGGGTCTCTTGTAGCCCAGTCTGGCGTTCCATGTTCAATTTGCTATATAAGTAAAGATGTTCTTGAACTCCTGACCTCCTGCCTCCACCTGCTGAAATTAACTGGCATTTGCCATCATGCCCGATACATTGTTTTTCTTCTAAGAAAGTCAGATTTTCTCGGGAGACATATGACAGTATGATTATGTGCATACAGGCTGAGGTAAAGGATCCCCCCCTCTGTAATTCTTTGCTTATCAATGATAAAGGCTCTTGGGTCCGCAGTTCTCCTTACTGAGAACTGCCATGTACCTTCGTTTCCACCCTCAAATGATATTGCAAGCTAAATAGAATTTTATCTAAGTCTGTTCTTTCAAAAGGAAACAGAAGCAGGATAAAATCTTGCCAAAGTACCTTACCCTCCCAACCCTCTCAATGATTCTTTCCCTGTGACTTAGGTTGTGTTCTCTGAGTTAGGGGATGTTTCTTCCATACAAGTCACTGCACAGTAACAATAGAGATTTACACAACAAACTGGCGGTGGAGAGGCGGTGGCCAGCTGCAAGGTGAATTGTGTTTGTAAAGCAATGGGAGTTCTGCAGAGGGTGGTTACTAAACAAACAGTGTCATAAAGACTGTCGAAGCTCCAGGAGGGACCTTTCTGTTCCTGCCAACATTCCACTGAAAACAGAATATAGGGGTTAGGGTTTTTTATCCATCCAAGAACCTTCCATGAAGCTAGGGGTTCCCAGCATGAGGTAGAGACCAGCTAGGCCAGCTGGTGTGTTTGTGTGTAACTGACCTTTAACAGCTGAGACGCACAGGACGGCTCAAGGGTCGCGGAGGGAGCTTGGTAAACCCTTGACTTTGGCACCGAGTCGGTCTCCTTTCCATGCCTCTGATCTGCCTATTGGCAGCAAAGGAAACTGAGCTCAGCTTTGGTTGCTCCAGTCTCATCTTTCTCACCTCCTGACCCTCTTCTCTCAGCTCCTCAGAGCTTTTATACAACGCCAAGAGTTCACAGAGCGGCTTGGCTGGCATCTTGTGAATTAAGCTGTTCTTTCCTGTTTTGGCAGAGTTTGTTTTTCTCCTGTCTGAACAATGGTGTCTGGAGAAATCTGTGAGCTACCAGGCTGTAGAAATCCTAGAAAGGTAAAGCCTATGCAGAAAGCCACTGTGCTAGTGCCCCTCAGAATGGCGGTGCCCACAGCACTAGTCCTTTGCCCCTTACCTAGCCCCTGGTTTGGCACCCTTCTTTTACTTGCAAATGGAGATCTCCCAGCCAGCTTTCATTACCTGATCAGTGGAGCATGTCTACAGCACAAAGTCCCTTTAGTTGGTGTGATTGTAACTTTCTCTCCATCCTTTTCTTCCCTTACAGGTTTATGGTGAAGCAGGCAGAGAACATCTGTCAGCAAGCCACAATCCAGCCGAGAGCTAAGACCGAATTGCAGAACTGGAGGGCTCTGAAAGAGCAGCTTTTCAACAAGTTTATCCTCCGCTTGGTGTCATGTGTTCAGCTGGCCAGCAAACTGTCTTTCCACTACAAAGTAAGGAGCGGGGTTGCTCGTGGGCACCTGAGTGTTAGAAAGAAAGCAGCTCATTGAGGGCGGCTATGAGAAACCCACTCCTAAGCTAGGTGACACTACTCATGTGGAAATTCCAGAGTGTAA